CAAGACCATGCACAAGACCAGACACAAGACCATGCACAAGACCAGACACAAGACCAGACACAAGACCAGGCACAAGACCATCACAAGACTGGGCACAAGACCAGACACAAGACCATGCACAAGACCAGTCACAGTTAGCAGGGTGAACGATAACTTAGGAATGCTTTCGTTGCAGTTCATTTGAATAGCTTGTGACTTGAATTCAAACTGGAGGTCTTGAGTGGTCTTGTGAAGGTCTTGAATACAACACTGCCAGGTAGTTTGTAGATATCATTGGTTTAGAGCTGCAATAAGTTGTCTTATGTTTGTAAGACAGCTATATAGCAAGAGAATCCCACACAGGTGAATTGTAGCTCCTAGAGTCCAACAGTTGAATCCTTGCGCAACTCTAGGCACCAGAGAAAAAAAGTGTACGAGTCCAAAATCACCTACATGTTTTATCTAATAATTCTCTGGGACTCCAACCAAACTCCAACCAGCATCAAGTACATTCTTTGGATTTTGATTAAAAGACACCGACCTGTTTGAGTCCACTGTAGTTTCCTCATGTGTGATGCGTTTGATTTCAACTCCTAGCTTCAGCCAATTCAGTTCTTATTCCAGCAAAAGTTTTTGTCAAGTACTTTCCAAGTACCAAGTTTATTGCCAAATGTTTAGACGGTTTGGTTTGAGTAAAACTTTGTAGCGTGACCTAGTAAATACCATTCACCGAGTACATTTCCTGTACTTTGGTCTCAAGATTAACCCTAACCAAATAACCATGCTGTATATAATAAGATATTTGCATAGTTTCTATGGTCCCTTGAGGGTTTAGGTTTAACTAAAAAGAATTTCAGATATATCCAAAAAGTCCCAACTTTTTTTGTTCTAACTCTGACTTCATTAGCTGTCTTTTGTCAGTGTTTCTCACAAATGACTTAGCAGTTCAGAAATTACTTGAAAAGTATTCAACAACTCTGTCTCCAGTCATCGCTGGCAATGTTTGCCCACCACAGTCCTATTTTTCACCCCTTTTGCCACGCAGAAACTTTAGGAGCTCGTGTTCCTCACTAGAGTCGATGGAGGAGGTCTTTGTTCCCGCTGTCAACCCGGTCCGATCATCCTGCAAGCTACAGGGCCGACCCCTCCTCTACAGCTGCGCCAGTCAGGACCGAGACCTGAGGCGGATATGTCCCTGCCGCACCTACATCAGGGGACAAGTGGCCTTATGCAAAGAGTGCATTTTATGATGAATGAAACTTCCTCTGTCCGTGTCCGCGTCTGTCTGTGTCTGTCTGCGTCTGTCTGCGTCTGTCTGCGTCTCTTTGAACCTGTACGTCTGCAAAGGCAGTTGGACCTTTGAAGTAAATGAGGAGCCAGCGATCAGTGTTCAGTCATCCAACGCACCGCCTTACACCTGTTTTTTCCATGTAGTGTTTTCATGGATATCTTTCACTCTGCAGACGTGTGTTCTGCAGTGACACCAGTATTTCAAATGTACTTGGAGCTACAAACAATCTTTGGTATCGTGATTGGAGGCTTGTATTTTAGGAGACCGTGATGACGTTTCATTAATCCAAACGTTTGGATATAGCTGTGGTCGTTACTCTCTGTACAGGTTTTTTAATCAGTGGGAGGTAAATGACGCCAAACAACTTGTAGAATTACCAACTTCTGCACTATAAAATGTTGTCTCAAATGTATTAATTGTGCAAAATGTTTTATTGAATGCTATATTGCTCTGCCTGCCTTGCCCACCTCGGCTCTACAGAAGAATTAAGCAACAGAAACGGTCACCAAAAAAAATCTTGTCACTGACTGTTGGCCTTTATAATGTTGTGGCAGTGTAATCAGGAATCAGACTTCTTACTGTGACACGCGTCATGCCCATTAATACCCTTTTGCAACATTTGCCAAACTGGCAACTCGTGCTCCATTTTGATGACCAAAAACCAAAGGTGGCCAATGTTGCCCCAAACCCAGGGTAACTTTGGTCACCCCTTTTTGAAGCCCCAGGACACCAATAAATTTTGAAATTTCCTTTTTTTTCAGCATCTCTGAAAAGAGGGAAATTGAAATTGGTTGTCTTTAACTGAGAAGAAATGATAACATACATGTGAAAAATGGCTGCAAGTGACCCCATGTTAGGGTACAGTCGTCGATCCGTGTTCTAGACAAGCAGTTTCTTCCTCAGCTCATCTGATTTCCTTTTTCTTCGGTTGCAATTACCAACCGAGAAACTCTACAGATTTGTGTGCAGCTCGGAATTTCCTCATTTCTGCCTCTGATTTGCATGCTTGACGACGATGGTAACATCTTAGGACTGGCTGTTTTTGCATACAGGCCCCCCTTCAGTCGATCCATATTGCATATAATTCACAGCACCCGCGGGAAAAACATTTTAGGCTTCGCGAGTAGCAACGAATAGTACATATCTAGAGTTTCCCTGAAGGTGCGATCAAAACTAGTTCTGAAAGAGGGTGTCAGTATTTTTTATATTCTTTTTACCTTAAGCTGTAGAAAATACTGGATCTGGGCTGGACGAAATCAACACTGGCACCGCAAATTGGCACTTCTACAGTGTTACGCACGTACATTTAATGTATAGGATATCAGTTTGTAGTGTCATTAATGAAATCTGCTGAAACCCCCGGACGTTCGTAGATGTCGCCCACATCGTAAAGGATTACTTGTTAATGGTATTTTCCAAAGGGATGCTTGCCTTGACGTATGATAATCTTCCCCCACGATTATGTTCACCCACCCTCATGTTACCAACGAAATTCTCCAGAAGATTCAAGTGGCAAAGACCGGAGGTCTTGTTTCATAATGTCAAGGCACTTTTCTGCCGTCTTCTTTTCAGCAGCGAGGGATTTTTTTTAAATCACCCTGAAAAGACTAACGCATAAACACCTGTTTCATTTTTGGAGAGAAAAAGCAACACAAAGTTCCTTTTTGCACAAAGAAACGCATTGAGAATGATGTCGAAATTGAGACTTTGTACCACTCTCATTAGTACGTATGTCACACTTTGAGTTATTTGTTCATTATATCTCGGACTTGGAGCCGGTTTGTGCTTGATGAAATGTAAACCTGTCATTATCTCACGGTATAAGTGGCACAAACCCACTCCTGGCAAAAAGGTTGTCGGTAGATATCGACTATACATCTTCAACATCACCCGTAAAAAAGCACCTGTAAGGTTTCAAGACTTTGAGTTTAGGGATCGAATCTGAGACTACTTATTTATCGTTGTAAGTCTATCCCCTGTCCATCATATATTGCGAATCTTGGCGAGATTTTTTCTGAAGTCCCAGAGAGTGAATCACTTTGTATAGTTCAGCTGAACTGGGAATATTTCATCAGCATGCAAACAGTATTGGCCGGGCTAGAGCTGCAGTCCTCTGTCTGTCAATGACTCAGTGGATTTGAAGAGGTAGGTATCAAAAATGAGGTTTTGAGGATCTAGGTTACCGGGGTGATAAATGCTGCAGATGAACGTTTCTGTATGTGTGAATGAGTGGCGTTCGTCCACCAAAAGCTGTCCACCGGCAAATAAAAGCAAAATTAATCTAGAGTCTATTCTACGCTGTCCTTAGTCGGTTGTACATTTCTACTGATTTTAACCCACTTCTCAAAAGCCAGGGAGCTGAAATTATATGCTTATCTTATTTGTACACGTGTTCCTGAAGTATATGAAGGTATGAATTTACCTTCAGAAAAAAGGCTCCGTTATTTTACTTACTTTTGAAAGTAAAAACGAGAAACTATTTCCGTTACTTTTGATGGTTCTGTTAACCTGTGCACTGTTCAGGTTTCCAGGGAATTGAAGGAGTGAATCGGCCTTTTTTTTAGAAAAAAATTATATTTCGTTCTGTTTTTGATCTGTTCGTCTTCGTTTTGTGTTTTGTTTTTGGGGTTAATTTTTGGCATTCATTTTTGATGTTTTATGTGTACTGGCGTTGATAATGCTAAAAATATGCCATTGAAATATGTCAGATATATTTATTGTAGTGTTTATTGCTATAATTTTTATACATGATTTTCTATCTGTTACCTTAAAGCATGATGTGGTACCAATTATATTCCTAATGATTTGAAAAGGAGTTTTGTATAGATGAGATATCTGCCAGAACTGTAATGATAGCCCTAAGTACTTCGAAGCAAAATAGCAGATGGGATAGTCAAGCCGTAATTAAGGATCAATGGATACCCGTGGGCATGAATTTTTAAGGTTTTTTTTTCGTTGAAAGTCCGCATCCTTTGCGGCCATGTCTAGTTTAAGCTGTTCGTATGGCATATTTATTAGTAAGCCACAGACATCAAATATAAAACAAAACAAAAAACCTAATGAGCTTTCACCGCTCCTTTGCAGTTTCGGAGAATTTATTTATTCTTCATCAAAGTGAAACTTGCGAGGAAACGTTACAGGGGTATTAGGAAACGTCATGTCTCTTTGGTTGATGCCAAACCTGAGAGTTCCCGAACGAGGTGATCTTACACGAGTGAATTAAAAAGGGACATGTACTTGCAGTACTTTTTCGAAATCATAACACATTTGGATTGGATGGGGATTGGGGGTAAAGAGATAATGAAATTAAGAAACAATTGCAGTGACTGAATATACGTTTAATTTACTCGAACAGGTCAGGAACAAACAATTCTGAGCGTAACACGGGTGGGAGGTTGTATTGATATCGCAGAAATTTCCATACTCCGGGAACGTGGGCTAATATGGGACGTTTTGTGGTGTATCCGTGTCAGTTTATTTTGTCTAAGTGTTAACATTTTGTCGTGCCAAATTGTCGTACTTCAAAGTGAATGAATGAAATATTGATAATTATATTGGTACTTTGTCCTTTGACATGTTTTAAAGATTTGTATAAAGCTTATTATAGAGATGCAGTTCATTTGGTAGCATTTGAAGCAAATTGTATATAAAAGGCAAATCTAAATATTTTTAGGCATAGAATTATTCAAAAGTCAATTGCTGCTCTCATTTGAGTTTTTTGTCGAAAAGGTTCCTCCGTTTTACATTTGAATCGGAGATGGGCGCTCACATTCCAAATCTGCATATGTACAAAAGTGGATGAAATCCGAAAAACCTTTTTTACCAAATGACCAATTTCACTTCAGTAATTGTGGATTTATTTTTATGTTTTAATGTAACTTGTGTTCGTGGTTTGCCACATAAGATTTTGTTCTACACATAGTGTTTGTTGGGGTAACCTTTTCCCTGCCATTCACCCTATGTACCAAGCACTGCAGTTCGTCACACCTGGGAATAATAAACAGAGACTTAGCATTTTGTTGCACTCAGAAATTGCGTCTTTTGATTTTTATTTCGAATGAAATATTCATGATGCGGGGACTTTGGTGTCGTGTGTGACGTAAATGTAGCAGAACGGATTCATTTTTTTTGGTGTCTCCATCACGTTAAAAGGTTTTTAAATTGAGCAGCATAGTAATTTGTTACTGACAAATAAAAAGGCCAGGATATCGAGGATAGGTGGATGTGGGCGTGAGTGCGGTAATTTTCATGCCTGTCGTTTTGTGGTTGTGTGTACCCCTTATTGAAAAAAAGTCCAGGTATGTGATAATCGATAGTGGCTCACCAGAGCCACATTCGTCGGCGGTTACCCTGGATTTTGAATACTCACGTTTCCCGTTAACAAAATGCCAGGTTGCTTCCCCAGTGTGACGCAGTGATCTATTTATACCCTTGAGTGCAGTGGTAAAATGGCCTGCCTAAGGACACAACATAATTATGATTTGAAGCTCAATTTAAAAACCTGGCCCTCTTACAGAGCCTGGGACAATCTGCACCTCGAGCTTAGTAGAAAAGCAAGGGAAGGTGGTGTTTAAATTCTTCTAAATAGGAATCAATATGAGAAAAGTTAGCATCGTTAGAGTTGGTCTCTAATTACTGGGGCGTAATGTGTTTGCCACCGATATATACGCGGTCGTCATTATGCATTCAAGTTTTCGGACAGCGCAAATAGAATTTACGTCGTTGCTTTTACAGATGTCCAGCCGTTGCCAGCCGTCATTTCATTTTCTCAGATTGTCTGAAATGAAAAACTACGTCAATCTCTTTTACAGACTATGCGAATTCAAGGGAGTTTCGAGAGCTATGTTTAACTCATACAACTGCAGTTGCCGATTGTTTTTGATCACGTATTTTTTTTTAAATTTGGTACGTCATAATAAATGTCGCTGTGTTTTCAATTTATCAGCAGTTTGGGAGTTCAATGGAGCAAGAAAGGCCGATTAAATAGGGGGGGGGGCACGCCATCCTTTAATGGCTGTTCGATGCGGACATGTAGCATCGGACACTATAGCCGATGCTCTTCATAAACCGCCGCCCAATTTCAGTCGTTCGTTGTGACAGTAGTGCAGTGCGCCGTGTAAAAAGTGCACCCGTGAAAAGGGGCACTTACGGGAAAGAATATGGCTCCTTTGAGGACAAGAGGGCACTTGTTACAAGATACTAGAGGTAAAAGGGGCACGCATAGGGGGGGGGAAAGGACATGCTGGGGACTAAATAGGGCACTTAGGGGGAAACGGCACTTGCCACCCAAATTGCGGTGGGGGGTAAAATTCCCCCTATAACCCACGGATGTTACGGTATAGTTATTTTGATTTATTTTGAACTATAGGCCTATTCTCCTAGGTTTTGTCAGTGTCTTGTCATTTTTGGTTGATTGTTTTTCCACATTCCGCCTTCTCCAGTTAGTGAATCGGTTTTGCGTCATTCGTTCATTGCTGTTCAGTTCCTGGACAGGCATCTTAAAGTTTTCTTTTTAATTCACGCGGACAAATTAACGTCACAGAAAGCTTGCCCAGAAATAAATTCGGACGACCAATTGCGAGCTGGGGAATGCTCAGGTGCCTAGAAATCATGTTGGCATGTTCCCAGATGAAATTGAATGGTCGTTTTTGGACATCAAAAGGTTCATTTTGGGCTGGGTGTCAATAATACTCTCGAAACTGAAGATGCGTTAGGCCACCAGTTTAACTTATGTGGCTCATACACTGCTTGATTTTCGCAATCATAGGACCTCTGAAGATGAAAACGATACTGAATAAACAATACATCTCAAAACTTGCTAAAAACTGATTATTTGATAGTCGTTGAAAATTTTGAAGTGCACGTATCCTCGTCTCCCCCCGTCTTCCGTATAAATGACCATGTGAGTCGTAATCGTTTAGGAATCTTATGGGCACAGATGGGACTGGTCCCATTTATTTTGTACATAGTAATTACTTGTATCGACAAGCTTTTCATTTTTTCCCTAATTTATTGAACTTATTGGCTTAGCCTCTATTTTCCACAGTTGGCGGCTGTTGGCGAAGGTTTGTGTACCGAACGATATGACCTCACTTGCTCCTGCGAAAAGGGGCCATTGTGTAAAACTTTACTTGTTGCGTTGTCGTCATAAATATGTATTTTGATTTTGTGCTGTCACGGTGGGTTTCTCTTTTTTCGATTCGAGGTACAGGAATCCTTCTTCCCTGAGACATGAACAGTGAGTAGAACCGATTTCTGTAATTCCCTCGAGCAAGTGACAATCACTCCAGTTTAGTTTTGCTTTTTAAAGTGTCAGTCGAAACTGTTTAAGCTCAGGGCATTCTCACGTAAACGCCAATATATAACGCTGATTATCCACAACCGTTCATTCCCCTGTTCGGTATTAGTCGTTTTGTTGAAGCTTCCTACGTGTGGAAACGTAGATAATTGTACATTTTTGCCTTCAAAGTGGTGTTTGGAGTTCGTGTCAGACGCTTTCTAAATGTGCCCTCGGCTCGTTAAAATATTGCAGTATCAAAGGCTGCCAACGGCCATTGTTACTTATGGTAATTATTCATAGCGCGTGAACCCTTAGGGTGCTAATTAACTTGAGAAGAAGACTGCCAAGGAGCAGAATAATGAAGAAATGTCAACAACGGCAACAGTTGTTTATCCATGCACAGTGCCTGAGGTTTGATCAGCAATGATTGATGATGCGGGAAAAAATATGAAACGTTTAAGAGCCGTGTTTTTCCTATTGCTATTTGAAGGGCTCTGATATACGTCGTAAGAAATTGCATTTTGCTAAAGAGCACAACATCAAGTTCTGACCCTTGTGTTTTGGCTGTAATTTCTTGTTTCGTTGCTAAACACTAGTGTCAATATCGTTTCGCGCTTGGACCTCTCTCTCAGGGTCTCAGTGAAGGTTCGTTAACTTCTGCCCAAAGAATGAATGCCAAACAAACCAGTCCTTTTTATTGGATGGATTCTGGTCGTTCCATCGTTCACCATGGATAAAATGAACTTCATTTCAAGGCTCAGTTACTGATTTGTTTCAACACACAAATCAATGCATGCTCCCAAGACTTTTATTGCGAAACACACGGGACTACGTTAACAAGCGTGCACGGTAATGGCCCGATTTTCCTAGTCAAAATCTTGGACTTGTTAAATTCCCTCCCAGACATTAACAATGAACTGAAGAAGCGCATGCCAATATCAAGAAACGGTCTTGTTTAGAAAGTACCCTTTCTTGTCAAGACGTCATGCCTGTATTTTCATTCC